CTAGAATATGCAGCTGGGAATCTCTGGAATATATAGAGTACAAACCTGCAAACTTGCAAATGTTTAGTGCTCTAGTATCCTCTTGATGAAAAATGTTACCTTGTACTAGTTCTAGTGAGAACAGAGAATAATATTCCTCAGTTGAAGTAGGAGATATAAAAAAACATATATACCTCTGTTTTCAGATGGGAATTTAAATCGCTGAGGATGAGTGCAACTTCTCTGATCAAAGCTGCTTCTCCTTATATGCAGCAGCTGCAGATTTCCTTTTGTAATCTTGAAATTTCTGAGCAGAAGTTTCTCAAAGTATGAAATAGCTTATTTAAGACAGAGCAGCACTAATATGGCTCATGGGTTTTTTATTTCCCTTAAAGACTCTGTCTTCTTAGGTATTACCAGACACCTGGAGATGAAGCTGCACTGGGACTTGACACTAATCTATTGTCACATCATAAACATAAGGTGCCTGAAGTATTAAGAATGATCTGTACTTTATCTTGAAATGCTGTGGGAGTGCCTGGTACAGCAGATAGAGCGATCCCCAGCTTGAGAGCTTCTTTCTGCACATTTATTTTTAGCTGTTGTTTAACAAAAGCTGTGACCACCTCTTTTTTTATTCACACCCACCTTATTCCTGATACATTTACAAAACTCCTCAATTACACCACAAGTATTGCAATAAATAATTTCTAGGATGATCAACACTACTCTTGCATATTGCAGACAGTTTTCTACACTACAGATATTTCATGCTGAGGAATCTATTTCTGGAAGCTACTTGTGTATAGAAACTATTTGTTTTCCTTCATCCATCTACTCTTACCTATTAAAAATCAGCAAGAAGTTGTGATTTGTTCACACAGGGAAAGGCAAACTAACTAACTCAAAATTTTGGTAGGAGAGATACACCTATATGTATGTTTGTATTTTTTTTTCCTGATGTCTGCACTTCAAAATAAAGCAAAAAATTCTGTTTCTTTTAGTCAAATGAGTAGGTCACCACAATGAGATGAGCCAAATTTTCTTTAAGATCTAGAATGAACAGAAATCTTCTTTCAGCCATGTTGAGTTTCCATTTTCTCCTGCTTTCCTTCTTCCCAATAAAAATTAATATTTGGCTCTTAAGTGATTCAAAAGTCACATGGAATTATGACCCTGGCAATGAGAATTGTACAGCACTGCCCAATATTTAAATATTTGTAACAGACTTTTGCTTGAAAGCACTGTTTCTAAACTATCTTTAGAAAATGATTGCTGAAGAACAATAGAACATGGGTTGGTGAAGTGTAAATGTGTAACTTCCCAGTATGTTACCAAACACTTTTCTTAATGCACATCAATCTCAGGTGCACATCAAATCAGAAATTATCAATTTTCAGAGGGCCTAAAAATTTGCAAGTCTCTTGCACCAATAAAAGTTGAATGCATACAGCATCCTCGTCTGTCCAGCCAACATTTTATACATATATGTACGCATGCAGTTTAAATTATTCCATTTTTAGGGTACTGAAGAAGTTCATAGACTCATATATAAGTAGTACAGGCAACTGTGGTACATAGGTGGATGCTGCAAAGTAATGAGCAAACACACAAGCTGTCAAATGGTGTGATTAGTGTGTAACACAAGTTACTTAAAGAGAGGCAAGATTGCACCACTCTTACCCATATCAGGAAGTATTTCATTCAACTGGTGGTCCTTTTGGGTCAGTCTGAAAGCCCTAGTCACTAAGTAACACTTTACTCCACAGGTATTTGTTGATTTAAATTGGGCTATCTGTATAGTAAAATACTTTCATGAGAAATTAGGGAACCATAAGGCTCATTGACTTCACCAGATCTTACTGGGAAGTGAAAGGAAAAAAAATATGCACTCCTAATAAGAGTGAGAAAATTTGAATCTTACTGAGAAAGAAATTATTTATTTGCTATTAAATATTTATAGAATCAATTGGAGGTACTAAGTAATAATATAATATTTAGCATGTATATACATTTCCATATAGTACATACATATATATATACACACATATATATGTATGTATATATAACATTTTAAAGATTATTGTGCCTTTAAACATTTGCCAAGAAAATGAGAATGAAGAAATGCAATTCCATTGTATGAATTACATAGTATGGGATTATCATGTTTCAAAAATATATCTGTAAAAACTAATCAGAACATTTGTTAGAGAACCCTTACACAATTGTTAACCTTCCCTTTACTGAGGTACTGAAGAAAACTGCTTAACTGGATTGATTAACTAAAAGAGATTATAAAGCAGCTGGATTTTATTTTTTTTTCCCCACTGCCTACACCCTTGACTCCTAACTGTGTAAGTTACATATGCAGACACAGGTTTCTTGGAGTGATTCAAGATATAGTAGATCCAGAGAGAGGGCTGATCCTTTACTATTTCTTCTTAAGTCTGCAGTTTAAATTTTACATGAGGCAGAAGTACAGGACCAGACATAAAGTAGTGCCTACATTCTAAATGCAAATTTTATATAAAATTTACTCCAGGGATGTGGAGATGGAGAATACAAAATGTATTTTAGTAATGCAAAAGTACAGTGAAGAGGATCAATTTTCCCCTCTAGCTACTTTAAATCTGAGCCTTTTCTAAATAGAAACCAAGTACACTGTTTCTTACTGTGTCTGTTTTGCCAATACAACTACAAAATATAGTATCAGTAAGTATGTTTGAACAGGCTGTACACTAGGTAGAACCAAATGTTTTCTAATCTACTGACTGGACCATGAAAACCTCCAAAACACTCTGTGTAGATAATGAGGGAAAACAAGACCAACATTAGATATATGAGTATATGTTATGAGGAGTTTCAGTTAGCATTTTCCATAGTTGTCATAATGAAAACTCTTATAGAAACCACAACACACTTTTTAAGGGAGGAAATTCCTCTTTTAGCTTTATATAGATTTCAGGGAAAAAAATCATGATTGATGTTATACAGTGAACACTGTAAAAAAAGAAGGAATCATATTTTCCATAGGGATTTACACTACAAGTGAAACTTTACTATTCAGTAGCATCAATACATTAATTAATTGCTTTATATAGACATTACATGGTTGTAGGAAAGTATAATTTTCTGTCTTTTAGTCACTATTACACTTGTCAGTAGGAAAAAAATGTGGAGTGTTTCTTTTTTAGCTTTCTGACAACTCCATTTTACAGTAAAAAAAAAAGTTGACATTACTTAAACAAGTGTCATGGAAAGTTATTTGTTTTTTAAAGCATGAGTAATAAATCAAATTATCTCTGGTTGTGCCCTAACCTAAACTCTTTCCTAAAGTGTCACTTTTTGTTAAAATCAATTTCAGATTTTAAGTATTGCTCCACTCACCTAATTGATAGCAACACAAATTCATGATAGGCATAAAATGAAATTGTTTCTGTGACACAAGTCAATAGCTTCTTGAGGATTAGTTTACAGTGACCTTGTACAGGCAGGTTTTTTTTTCTTTTTTTTTTCCCAGTTATACATGTTCAATTTCCAGGTCATCGATTACTTGAATTTTGGTTCTTCAATCTGTCAATTACCACTGGCCATTTCTATTCAGTTTAAAGTATTAGATACACCTGGCAAGTGGAACATTTGGTGTTCACAGATCACAGGGCATGGTAACTCCAAGGTATTATGAATCTTCTTTAGGTACATCAAGTGACTACAGTGCAACTTCTTTCCCACTAGCTGCATACACAAAATGAGTCTGTGTCAGTTCTGATACACTCAGCTCATTCCCCTATGACTCAGAACAGCATATCAGGAGAAGCACAGGATAAAACAGATATGACATTTCAAATATATTTAATAGTCATTATCCAGAGCCTGCTTTCAATCTGAACGTTAAAAATCACTTTGGAACATACCTGTAGTGTTTGAACATTAAGCTGCATTAATCATGAAGTAATACTTTAAATTAAATCAACTGGAGCCAATTTCTGCCCTCACCTTCACTCTGCAAGTTCACTGCTCTGAAATAAATCTTCTGAGTTTCAACTTTAAACTACCTGCTAAAAATTAAGTCATTCTTTGATTAGTATCCTATATCCAATGGTCCAAATTCTGCCATTTCTCACATTCACAAAAGTCAGTAGAGGACAGTGTGGATATGATTGGCAGCAGAATGCAGCCCGGCGACAATTTCTAAATGAGCTTTGGTAGAAGACAGAGTGTGTAAGTCTTTCACTATAAAGCAATCATCAATGTTGACTCAGGCTACTGGAAATCTGACTAGTTGTTTTGTTGGTTTATGACAAGATGTGAGTTTTGTTAACATTTGGAGGTAGGAGGAAGTTACCACATACATTTTCCTTCTATTTGACTAAGCAGAATTTTCAGCACTGAAAAATTGGTTGTTTATGGGGAGAGGAGGAGGCAATGGGGCCCCAGTGATACTGTCAAAAAATATATTTATGGATATATATTCTGAAGAAGGAAATTTAAAAAAAATTAAAACATACATCTTGGAATGATAGCTCATATTTATATACAAGTTTGGAGGGCTATAATACACTGTTGCAATAGATGTCCTCAGTGTGCAATTTCTTCCCTGTCCTATTAGTTACTGCAGGTGGTAGGACCACTTGCCCTCCCTCTTCTCCACCCCAAACCAAAGAGTAATGAAACCTGTGGAAGTGCCTACCTCTGTCTGACAGTCTCCTGGGAAAATCCCCCAGCATGCCTCAACTGAGCTAAATGCCTGCCCACACTCTCACATGCACCTCTTTGGCGCTGCCATAACTCTGACTGTGTTTCACTGGGTGTTTTCTTTTGAATCACATGGGAAACATCAATGAGACAGCAGAACCAGACCCACCAGATGTTGTCTGGTTCCACTTCCATTAAGTCCACCTCTCTTTAGTGACTTGTGTTGGTTCCTACAGTGGTGCCTTACAGCAGATTGCACTGCAGACAAAAGGGAAAATTAAACCAGTGTCTAAAGTGAGGTCCGGGGTATTCTAAAAGTCTCCTACCTGAATTATGGACATCCGGCTCGGGGGAGCCTCGCTGGCGTTAGTCCCTTGCCCTGTGAAGCTGGTGTGGCAGCCCACATGTCCCTGGGGTACAGTCAGGTTGTTGGAGGCGGGCTTCAGGTACATCACCTCAGACCTGGGAGAGCTGAGGGGCAGGCGGGTCTGGTAGTCAAAGTACATGGGTGAGGTGGCCAGGGATGGGCTGCTCACCACGTTCATGACATTGAGGGGACCCCGGCTGTCCTCGCCCTCACTGGGCACCAGCATAATGTCATTCTTGCTGATCTTCTTCTTCTTGCCCTTGCCCCCTCCACTGCCACTGCCTCCTCCTCCCCCGCCACTGCCTCCCCCTCCTCCCAGCTGAGGGTGGCTATACTCGGCAATGCGACAATTATAGGTGCGGATCTCCTTGTTCTCTCGCTTGCACTTCACAGCAATAGTGATCATGGCAGCCAGCAAGATGATGGAGACAGTGCTCAGTGTCACAATCAGCGGCAGCGACAAGTCCCAGTGCGGCCGCCGATGCTGCTCGCCGTTCACCTGCGGCTCGCCAGCCTCGGGCAGGGGCCCCGCCAAGGCCCTGACTATGAGCTTGGCCACAGCGGAGAGGCTGGGCTTGCCATGGTCACTGACTTTTACCACCAGTTCAGCCACAGGGCTGAGCTCCTCCCAGTAGGGGTGCAAGGTGCGTATCTCACCACTGGTGGGGTCCATCTCAAAGAGGTGCTCCTCATTGCCTTCCACAATCTCATACGTGAGGCGCCCACTCTCCCCAAAGTCACTGTCCAGGGCGCGGACGGTGCCCACGGGGTAGCCCACCCCAGCATTGCGTGGCACCTGCAGCTCAGCAGTGTCATTGATGAGGGCAGGCAGGACGATGAGGGGTGCATTATCGTTGACATCGAGCACGGTGACGCGCACTGTGGCATTACTTTCACGGTGGGGTGAACCCGAGTCTTTGGCCAGCACGCGGAACTCAAAGTGCTTTGTCTGCTCATAATTGAAGCTCCTCAGAGCGTAAATAGCACCATTTGTGGGGTTGACAGAGACATAGGTGTAGATGGAGACATCTCCCACATGCCCAGGCAGAATGGAGTAAGACACTGTCCCATTTTGGCCCAAGTCAGGATCCTGGGCCAAGACTGAGCCCAGGTACTCTCCAGGGATGTTGTTCTCAGGCACCTGCAACACATAAAGATTCTTGCTGAAGCGGGGTGGGTTGTCATTCTCGTCAAGGATCCGGACAGAAAATGACTTGGTGGAGTTAAGTGGGGGATTGCCCCCATCACGTGCCACGATGGTCACATTGTACTCATCCTGTGTCTCACGGTCCAGGGGTCGGTCAGTGACCACAGTGTAGAAGTTGTCATAGTTCTCCTCCAGGGTGAAAGGAACGGCACCAGGCCCGCCGCCACCGCCCAGCACCCGGCACTGGAGCTGCCCGTTCTTGCCTGAGTCACGGTCGGTGACCCGCACCAGGGCAATGACAGTGCCTGGTGGGGCAGCCTCACTCAGAGCTCCCTGGCGAACGGAGACAAAGCCAATGGTGGGAGCATTGTCGTTGCGGTCGATGAGGCGGACAGTGACCTTGCAGTGAGCAGGGATGGGATTTGGCCCCAGGTCCCGAGCTTGGACATCAATCTCAATGAGGCCACTCTCCTCATAGTCCAGGTTACCCTTGACACGGATGAGGCCGCTCTGTGGGTCGATGCTAAACAGGTCACGGACGCGCTCAGGTGCGTAGCCACTGAAGGAGTAGAGCACCTCTCCATTGGTACCCTCATCGGCATCAGTGGCATTGAGGTCGATGACTGCCGTGCCTAGTGGTGCGTTCTCTGGCAGCTCTACCACGTAGGAGGCTGCCTCAAAGATGGGGCTGTTGTCATTGGAGTCAATGAGGCGCACATTGATCTGCACCGTGCCTGAGCGTGGTGGGTCACCACCATCCAATGCCGTCAGCACCAGGGTGTGGTGACTCTGCTCCTCACGGTCTAATGGCTTCTGGATGACCAGCTCTGGAAACTTTGTGCCATCACCACGGGACTTCACATCGAGGGAGAAGAGGCCGTAGTCGTCACGAGTGAGAAGGTAGGTGCGCAGACCATTGTCCCCAGCGTCTGGGTCGTGGGCGCTGGTGAGGGGGAAGCGGGTGCCTGGTGCAGCATTTTCAGAGATGTCCATGTCCACTTGGTCAGAGGGGAATGATGGTGCGTTGTCATTCAGGTCCTGAATCTCCACTTTGATCATGCAGATCTCCTGGTCATTGGCGAACACCTCGAGGGACAGCTGGCACTTGGCACTGCGCCGGCACAGCGCCTCACGGTCAATGCGCTGCTTGGTGTAGAGCAGCCCGCTCTCCCCGTCCACGTCCAGGAGGTGTGGGGCTGAATTCTCCAGCACCCGGAAGGTGGACTTGGGGCCGCGGCCGCCCCCGGGGCCGCCGCCGGGAACGCCACGCTCCGCGGGCAGCATCCCGCCTCCCGGCGCGCCTGCCGCCAGCCGCGCATCGCGCCCGATGTTCCCGATGACCGTGCCCGCTCCCTGCTCCTCCGGCACCGAGTAATTCAGGTTCTTCAGCGATAGGGCGGGAGCCCAGCAGAAGAAGAAGCAACAAATGGAAAGGTACATCCCCGAGCAGGGGTGGGGGCGGCAGGAGCAGCAGCGATGACCAGGGTTATCCCCGTCTTCTTTGCCTCCTGCGCTGGGGTTGCTCTTCCTCCTCTGACGGCTCCTTCTTTCCTTCCTTTTTGGTTTTGATTTTTTTTTTCCCCTTCTCTTTCCCCACCCCTATATTTCAAGTTCTTGAACCTGTTGCTCTAAAACATCTGCAGAGACACAGGATGAGAGGCAGCAAATAGACCATGTAGCTCAGAGGGAGGGAGCAATCGGGGGGGTCAGGGGGAGGGGAGGGAGCAGCTTCGGCAGCGTTTCAGCAAGAGCTTGCCGTGCTTACAGTCCTCTCGCAGTTACTTCCTCTGTCCAACTCCGGCAGAGGGAGGGTTTCAAAAATCAGAAAATTTGCAAAAGATCTTCTCCTCCGGGCAGGCGATGTGTTCCTGATCCTTGAATCCCCGCAGATGTACAAAGAATAATAAAAATAATAACAATAATAAAAAAAACCGGCGGCAGTGGTTGTTGTTCTAAAAACGATCAGAAATATTTCTTAAATATGTGTATTTATATATACATAGAAGAAGGGGATGGTCACAGGTCTGTAGCAGAGGTAAAAAAGCTTATTTGCTACTCATCGCTTGTGATGCGATTGATGGAGTGGAGGGGTAGGAGAGAGACAGAAGGGGAAAAAAAAAAGTCTCAGCTTGTTGTTGAAGCCCTCTTCGTGTGCAGTGAGCGGCAGTGAAATGTCTGACTGCACCGCGGGGTTGTTGGTTTTCAGGGAGTGTTTTGCTGCATTTAGAGATCTAATCTTGCATTGCTTGCGGCGGAGAGCTGCATCTCGCTGCCGTCGGTATTTCCCCCCTCTGTCTCGTACACCCTGGGTCACTGTTTCCTTCCCGAATCAGAGGGAGAGGGAATGAGGATTGCAGGGCAAGAGGGGAAAACAAAACACATTAAAAAAAAAGCCCAAAACCCAAACCACTCCGCCCCCTCCCGCAAAAACCAGTGTTCAGATTTATAGCTTCCTTTCTCCCCCTTTACTACCAGCCTCCCACCCGTTGTTTTGGGGTGAAAAATTTAAGAAACACACCAGTTCACCTTCATCACTAACAGTAAATATATATTTTGAGAGAAAGCTCAATCAGCAGCACGCTTGGGTTTCTTTAAGACAGGCCAGTAGCCGCCGCCACCACCACATCCTTTCTCTCCGTGTATCTATGCGTGTGTGCGTATGCGTGTCTGAGGAGCTGCACTTTTCTCGATGCAGTTTAATTCCAGTTTGCTTTTCTCTCCAGCCGAGAGGAAAGCAACAGGCAACCCATAGCTGGACGCATAGATTTATAAAAAAAAAAAAAAAAAAAAAAAAAGAAAAAGAAGCAAGAGAGGGGGTGGGAGGGCGGGGGAAGAAAGAAAAGCCACCACACATACACACACACACACACTCTCTCTCTTTTTCTTAGTCTCGCTAAAAGGGAAACAGTCTCTGTATTCACAGGGCTGCGCTATCAAGTGCCTCTCTTTTCTTTCTATTCAGCGTCTCCTTCCAATGACACTGCCGCCTAGCCCTCTTCATTTAGGGGAGGTGAGAAGAGGAGGAAAAACAATCCTGGCGATGAATAAAGTGGGAGATCTTTTAATCGATTAACTCGCGTATATTAAAACCTATACAGTTCCGCGATCAGTGTGATGCATTTTTTGCAGTCCTTTCAAAGCTTTAACAGTCTCTCTGAGCATCTTGGTACAGGGGAGAAGAGCGGCAGCAATGCCAGATGCGTTGCCCCTCTCTGATATACACCTTTCCTAGTGATACAGTGTATAGGTAAATACTGGGGAAGGGTAGCAAAATATTATTTCAGGTTCTTTTAACAACCTGAAATAAATGAATGGCAAATCCAGAAATGCAGGTGTTTCAATCTGCTTGGATGAGTCAGATCCAGCGGAACAAATCACATTCACTATCGCCTCATGTTCCTCCCTTCACAGACATTAGTTGCAGCTTCTTCCTAACGCTTCTCTGACTCACTCTATAGACAGGAAAGAAATTAATCAGATTTATATTTTGGAAAGGAAGGAGGGAAGAAAGAAGGGGAAAAAAAGAAAAAAAAAAAAAAAAAAGGAGAAGGTGGGGGTGTCGGATCCAGCTACACTTTTACTATACCTCTTTCTCCGGGAGACTGAGGATCAGGAAAACAAGGCTGTTATCCACTCACTGGCACAGAGGCGCGTCTGTCTCCTGCTTTGCTGAGTGTTTTTAACCACCTTTCCTCAGTGTTATGTGTGAAATATATCAGAGATCTTTCACATTAAAAGAAAAAATAAAACGCAATAAAAACATAGGTTTCCAATACATAGCTCACAGATCTAGTTCCGAGTCTCAGTTCTGCACTGTTTTTTCTCCTTTATTTGAGTCCGGACCCAAAGTACACAGTTAATTCTGCAACGTGTGGCAAGGAGGCTTTCAAACGCAAAAGAAGAAAAAACAATTATTCTTCTCTGCCTCATTGATGGGTGGCCCCTTGCAAACAGACGGTCGCCAGTCTTAGCCAGGCAGCACGCGGAGCGAACGCCGATCCCCGATAAACCAGATCCATTTCACCAGCCGCCCGCAGGTAAGTGGAGAATTCAGTGAAAATTCAACAGTTGGAGCCGCGCTCTGCCTCGCTCGCTCTCTTTTTCTCTCTCTCTCTCCCCCCTCCTCGCCTCCCTCACTGCAGCACTCGCGGGGCCGCCGCGCCGCGCCGCGCTCACCCAGCGCCGCTCTCCGACTGCCGCTATTCACCTCACGCCGCGGCTTAAACATTGATACGGATTCCCCGCCAGCCAATGGGCGGCGGCGGCGCCGGCCGGCCCCGGCGCGGCCCGGCCAATGGGAGGAGGCGGGCGGGGGGCGGGGCCGCGGCGGGCGCTGGGTGCCATTGATTAGATCGGCTCCGAGGGGGACGCGGGGCGCGCGAGCGGCTCGCGCGGGCTGCGGTGTCTGGCCGCTCGCGCACCGCAGCGCCGCGACCCCGGCCCCTCACCCCTGCCTCCCCCTCACCCCTGCCTCCCCGCCGCCCTTGTTTGTTTGTTTATTTATTTGTTTGTAAGACGCGTTAACAAGTCCTTCGCGTTGACGGGTGGGGAAGCAGGGGGGACGCGGCGCCGCCGAAGTCGCCCAGAGCACCGCGAGGGCGAGAGCTTGGCTCCGCCGCGCGGCCCCCGAGTGACCGCTGGCCCGGGGATGCGCGGCGGGAGAAGGGACGTGTGGGTGGGGAGACACCCCCCGCCACCTCCGCCCCGGCCCTGTCGGAGCCGCCCCGAGCGGGTCTCGCCCTCCCCGAGGGGCAATTCCCGACGGCGGGAGCGCATCCCCTGCCGGCGGGGAGCGGGGCGCTGGCAGCCGCGCCGTGAGGGGCCGGGGGCCGCAGCGGCGCCCGCCCCCGCCCCCGGCGCGCAAGGGAGGCTCCCGGCCGGGGGCGGCGGTGGCGGGGGGCGGACTGAGACTGGAAAGGTGCGTGCTCGGATTGCCGGAGGGCCGGTCTCGACCCGTGCGTACGGAAATGAAGCTGCCATTTGTGACGAGCGTGTAAGTAGCAAGAATCACTTAGGGGAAAGGAGGAAAAAAAAAAAAAGAAAAATATAAAAAAAAAAGGAAGAAAATCAACTCTGGAGCACTTACAAGACGCTCCTGAATTATTTTAGGAGCGTCTCTTAAAAGAGTCAGTTAAGGCAGCTGCTCGTTTGCCTTGCTCAATAGAATAACCTTCAGCCCTGAGTTATTATGTCCATAAATATAATATGACTTGGAAAAAGTCTTGCAGATTTATAAATTCAAATGAGTGTTCTTTCCAGACCCATCTTCTCGTCCTGAGGACCTCTTTGTAGCTGTGAAACAGATAGTTTGCCATCAAGAGCGAGTCTGCTGGTAACCGTTATAGAACTAATGCCGTGTTAAAATGCAGTGTATAAATAAACTATACATACATTAGTGGCAGCAGAAAACCACTACTCTCAGCCGAGCCAACTTTCTGTGTGAGAGCGACGGACAGATGAAATAAAGGATATGTTTACAAAATGGGCTTTGCTTTCTGCATGAGGGCTTCAGATTGGCTGAGGGAATTTGGCGTGCTCGGCTAAGTCACGTATTTGGAGAAGTTCCCTATAAAAGCAGCACAGTATTAAAAGTGGAGCAAACACCAGCGTAAGCCCCTGAGCTATCAGGAGACCTCGGCTGACTGCAACTCGAGTCCTCTGCTTTCCTCTCCTTATTCTGCAGTTTATGCCAAACCTTTAGGATGTCTTAGGATGTCCAGAGATTTTTCCACGCCAGTTCTGCTAATTGAGGGGGGGGAAGAAAAGGGTCATTGCAATTATGTAATGGCTCCCTCTAGCGTGCCAGAGGTACTGCTGCATTTGGGGTATATCCCGTGTGCGTGCATCCTGCGGGGCGTGAGAGTGTGTGTGTGTGTGTGTGTGTATGTGTCTGTGTACATACATACCGTGGGCTGCACACTGTGCCTAAGTGTGTGCACATGTGGTAACAATAGTTTCCTTTCAGAGCATGAAAACACCAGCAGGAGTTAAAAAAAAATTAAAATAGTTTGTATTACGGTGGCATATAATACGTAATATATTTCTGACAATGTTTGTCATGTTTAGTTTAAAAAACAGCCTCAAAACCCAGGATGAATTTTCCTTTTTTTTTTTTTTTGGAGGAGGCTAGTGTCTTCATCACTTTTTTTTTCTTCAGCCTGGTGAGTACTTTTTTTTTATATGACTCAGCATTACACAATAAATACTCTTACTCCAGAGTGAATTCAATACATTTGAGGGCACTCTGCAGTTTGTAAAACAAGTACTTGGGACTCTGAATTAAGGGAAAAACTATATAACCCTTTATACAAGTAACTCGAGTCTTTGCTTGTAAAATTTGTCTTTTTTTATCAAACATCTTGCAGCTTACAACAATCCATTGATCCCAATGACGTGCATGGAATACTTAGAGGAAAAATAAAATCTGAAACACTAGCACTGGATCTTCAAACCTCTGACTGAGTGTCAGGTGATAATGATAAATGAAACTCCTTGCTCTACAAGTCACTTGGTTTTGTGGTGTTAAGTTGAGCAGAGCTGCATCTTAATACTTATTCTCAGGTATGGCTGATTATTAATTATTTCTAATGATTTCTTGGAAATCATGCCATCTTCACATC